AGCGGGGTGGTGAGGACCGGGGCGGTTGTCCCTGGTCCCCGGGGATGTGCGGTGCGACAGGATCGTGGCCGCTCGGGTTGGTGCTGCTGGAAGTTTCCACCGGGGTCTCTCGTCGCTCTGGGGGAGCCGCCGCTCCGGGGTACCCCGCGATCCGCTCGCTCCCACCCCTCAAAACCTCTCCCTCCTCCCCCAGGCCGGTCCTTCCCCAGAGTGCCTGCGCATTCTCGGCAGCGCGGCCGTCCTGGATCCCTTTATTTTAGCTGCTTCTCCTCTTCCTCTTGCTTAAATGCAGCCAAAGTGCCAGGGAATTTCCCCCCGGCATTAGGGAAGGAGCAAACAAACTCTGGTGCTGGCAAGTGGCTGTAACGCCCGCGCTGTCACAGGCGTGTCAGAGTCAGACCGGGAGTTAAAACAACAACAACAGAAATCCTGGCCGGTTTATTCTAAGACATTGCTTGATTTCCTGCTGTTAATATGTAAATATGCAGGTGTTTGAGCTCCTTTCTGCCTGGCTTTGAATACTTGCTTACGGCCCTGACAAACAACTAGGGCTGCTACCATTGGCGTGGCTTTTTCCCCTATGACTCTGCTTGGCTTCATAATCCTGAGCAGCGTTTTTTTTTTTTTTGCAGTTGCCGAGGTCTTTCATGGATTTTAGGGGACTCTGATTCACCTTCACGCTCAAGGCGCTAATTAAAACCGCGGTAACTCGGGTCAGGTGTGTCAATTGGCTTAAACTGAGTGCTGAAAGTTAGGATCACATTCACACACCCCCCCGGCACCCCCCAAAAAAGAATCCATCGGCCAGATGGGAAGGGGATTTCGGGGAGCAGAGACTCCCCTTCAGCTGGGATACCTGAACGGAAGGTTTGTGCCCTGCCTGTCAGTTGCTGTGGTATTTCCTCTCTCTGAGGGGGGCTGTGAGAAGGCAACAAGGATATCATGGTGATGGGGCTTGAAATCATGGTCTAAAATACAGAAAACTTTTCCAGACCCCCCAAAAAAGGGGTTTTGTAGCTGCATAAATGCGCCTGTGCTGCTCAGGTTGCAGGATGGGGCGTTGGTTGTGGCTGTGAGGACGGGCAGGTACCTTCCTGGCAGCATTTGCCTCTGTCCCGGGCTCCTCCGCTGAGCTGGAAGCCATAGATCCTGCGGAGGACTGCCTGGCAGCTCCCCGAGGAGAAGGGCTTGTCCTGGTTAGGAAGGAAAAAAACCCATCTCTCTCCCCTTTATGTCTCTTGTAGAATATTGAAGATAATGGCACAGTTTCCAAAGTAAATAAATTCTTGTGAGAAGCGAAGGAGCGGCCTCTGAGCAAACCTACCAATCGTGCTGGTGTGAGCGGTCCAGCTGGCTGCTAGCAGGCGTTTCCCCCGGCTGGACATGGGGTCTCATGGGCTGGCGCGGTTGGTAAGTTTTCTCTTCCTATAGCTCCATCACTTGAGTCCCATGGACTTTTTTTTTTCCATCTGCTGTGAGCTCACGGTGGGTTCCAAGAGCTCCTCGAAGCGCCATCAGGCAGACGTCAGGGTATCCGGACCGTTGGTCGGGATGCGAGGGGCTTGGTCCGTGTGTCCTGGGGCAGGAATGAGTCCTGGCTGTGTTCGTTTGAGGAACATCATAGAGGAAACGATTCTCGAGCCAGAAATCACTGAGGTTTTGATTGCTTTGTCCTTTTACAGGGGTGAAGGAGGGCAAGGGGTGAGGAGGCTGTGGTTTCCAGCCTGTAGAGAGAGGGTTTCCGTACAAAACTACACTTGTGACAAGCGGAAGAAGAGGAGGTGGCCAGAGAAAAATGAATTTTATGAATCAGTGCTCTTTAATTGCCTTAAGGGAGAGTCCTCTTCCGCTTGAGGCTTGGCTGGGGGTTTACAGAAGGGCAAACTGGACCTGAACTGCTCAGCAAATTCTTCGTGGGGTGTGAACCACGCAGAGTGGGCGATGGTTTCATGGTGCACATCTGTGAGAGGCTCCTGCCTCTCAAAAGGGTCCGTATTCGCCAGGGCAGATCCAGAAACATTCCCCACAGGCAGTGACAGTCCCGCTCCCAGTTCTGTCCTGGGCAAACACCTGGGGAGTGAAGCCATGTGCCTTGGTACCCGCTTGGTTTCGCCATGCTGTAAGTAGGTTTGTACTACGTTACGCCCTCAGGATGTGAAACTGTCGCTGCTGGACTTGGACGTAAATTGTACAAGTGAGAAACTCGTGGAGGGATTACACCGCAACTGCGGCGACACAGGGCTTCTCCCCCAGTCATTATCCTTATTTATTTTTTTGGGCTAATGGGATCTCTCCTGGTATGTGTGTCTCTTTCTGGCCAGCTCAGCATTGCTCTTATTTGTAGTCAGGGCTGTTAATCCTCAGCAGTGCCCTAATTCTGCTGAAAGGGAGGGTGCAACCGTTGGACTCGGGCAGCCGTACAAGCTCCTGGCTTTCTGGGAAGAAAGCGTCCTTTTATCGCAGGCCAGCTCGCTGGGTGCGCGCGTCTGATGCTTTCGTCTCCGGGAGGTTGCCACAGCGAGCGGCAACGAGTGGCTTCAAGGGAATGGATGCCCTTCGCTAGGGAACGGGGCGAGGCAACGAGTGGCTTCAAGGGAATGGATGCCCTTTGCTAGGGAACGGGGCGGGTAATTCCCATGCGATGCCCTCCCAGGCGCCTGGGACTCTGACCTGACTCTGCCTGGGGATTTATGTGTTCGGTCGCAGCAGGGCTGTGAAAGAGCCTCGAGAGGAGCCGTGGAGCCTGTGCTGGCACGGGGCGAGCTGCCTGCCTTTGGGAAGCGGGCTCCTTGGTGACTTGGCCCGGGGCCCGATCGCTTGGTTTCTTAGTGGCTTTCTGTTTGGCAAAAGGATTTGTGTTCCCAGGGAGGAGGCGTCTGTCTGTGTCTGTGCTGCGCAGGACAGCCGAGGGGTGCAGGGGGAGCTAAGGGCCCTCGCCTCTGGTTTTATGCAAGCATTGACCATATCTCAGTTACCTAGAGGACTTTTCTCCCAGCCTTAAGCTGTACGAAGATGTGACGACTGGCCCTTGCGTTGGGCAGCAGCGCGTACCCCTCCTGCGCCGTCCCTGCTAGCTGACAGTTTCAACCTGAAAGAACCCCGTATTTTCCCACTGCAGACGTCCCTTTTGCCTGGGGCTCCTGCAGCCATGTGCTGGCAGCGGATGCTGCGTCAAGCAAGGTTGAGTTCGCCCTTTCGGAGGTTGGGTGCTGGCCCTGTCACCCTCAGCCAGCCTGTGCCGATGCCTCTTGCCTCCGTTGCGAGTGATGCTGCCAAGACTTTGCCAGGCTGGGCTGCAGAGCCTGGAATTTTCTCCCTTTGAAACAAGCCCCACACCTAGTTTTCCCCATTCCTGTAGTCCCTCGTGCAACCCTGGATCTCCCGCAGCTCCCTGGGCAGGAGCACAAGCTCTGCCTGTGCCAGATCTCCACTTCACCCGCTTGGAGCCGGAGACCAGCCCTCTGCCGCAGCCCTGGGATGCCGATCTTGCCTGGTCCCCGCGAGCAGCAAAAAGCCACTCGCTGTGTAGCTTAACAACAGTTAATTTTTGGCTGGCACGATGCATTACAAGCCATTTGGGACTTCGTATCTTCATCGTGCTACTCGTCCTCTGCCAGCACTTCCCATCGCTCCTGCTGTCCAAGCATCTCTGTAAACACCACAGCGCTGGCTTCCCATCGGCTCGCCTGTGCCAGGGCCGCGTTTCAGAGACGCCCTGAGTAAACCCCAAGCATCCGTACTCCTCAGACAGCCGTAATTCCCCATTTGAAGTCAGGACATTGTCAGCAGCAATAATAAAGAGTGTTCGAGCTCAGACAAGTTCTCCCTGGCACCTTGTCTAGGCAAATATTATCAAACTATTGAGCCATACAGCGGCTGCTGGATGGGGGTGACTGGGGCATTTGCCAAAGGAAATGTCAAGGATGAAATGTCTTTCTAGCCCAGAAGAAAAGATTTAGCAAATTGTGAGGATTTAGGAGTCGCTTTCCCTGGTTTCGCCATATTAAACCTTTAAAAAGAAACTGTTGTAGCTGCCCTGGTGGCAAGAAGAGCCTCAGCCTCGGTGTTGCTGCTCTGCGGCCTTCGGGGCAGCAGAAGCGATGAGCATCAGAGATTGCAAACTCCCGAGGAAAGCATTGAGAGAGGAAGGCAGCAAAGCCGCGGGGGCGGTGAATCGCCCCTGTCCTCGCAGCAGCCCCTCGGGGTGGTCCTGCCTCGTCCCATGCTCCCAGCGTGCCGTCAGAGGAGCCATGGCTGCTTGCCTGCCAAGGCCCTCGGGTTCCTCCGCCGTAACTTCGCCTTTCTCCTCTCCCTGGCGTGCAGATCCCGTTTCAGCTGTAGGCTCTGTGGCCCTGGCTCCCGCGGGTGCCTCCTCTCCTTCGTGTGCTGCCTGCTGCCGCTCTCTCCTCCCCGCTCGCCGATGGCTTTTCTGGGCCTCCCCAGGTCCTGCTGCCAGCCAGCACCAGCAGCTTTTTTTTTTTTTTTATTCCCCGAAGTGACCTTTTAATTACATAATGACTTACAAACGCTCAGCACCAACGACATACCAAAATAATTGAAACAATGTTTTTCCAGCCTTGAAAAACACGATTCTCTACCAAAACTCTGTCCTTTGAGATTCCCAAAGTTAGAAAAACAAGCGGCAGGGAGGCGGCGTGAGCTGGGAACTGGGAGGCTGTCGGGGAGCTGGGCATGCCTGCCTCTGCTTTGGGGCGGGGGGGCTCTCCAGGGCAGCGATGGTCTCAGCGCGGGCAGGGCTGTGGCTTAGGTCAGGGCTGCGGTGGGACGCGGGCAAATGAGCGAGGGCTGTGGCCGGTTGCCCACTGTAACTGGTGTTTCCCTTTGGCGGTGAGCGAAGGGGAAAGGGAAGTGCAGGGAGAAGGTGATGAGATTTCTCTAGCCCCTTTGTAACCCCTCACTGAAGGCATGTGGGATTTGGGTGATGCGGGGAGACCCTGGAAGAGTCCCTTGGGTATCGGGGCCTTGGGCTGGGCGCACCGAGGAGCTGTGGTCTCAGATCTTGCTGCTGGTCTTACTCCTCCATCTCTCTGCTTCCTCCTCGCAGATCAAGAGACAGCATGGCTGCGACTGCTGCCGTCAGCCCCAGTGAATACCTGCAGCCGGCCGCCTCCACTGCCCAGGTGAGTACGGGGGCATCGGCGGCTCCCAGCTCCCCGCTGGGGCGGAGGGATGTGTCCTGGGGTGCAGGACAGCAAACGCTGCGTCGTTTGGCCCCTCCTGCCTCTGCCGTAGCCAGCATTGCCATGTCAGGAGGAGGACTAGTTGCAGGACAGGCTGGGGAGCCACGCTCTGGACTCATTCCCAGCCCTGATGCCAACTCGTCCGGAGCGTTGTTTCTCCTTCCTGCGCTGTGTTTTCCTTAAGGACCTCTTGGGTTGTGTTAGCAGCTGATATCACAAGGTGGTCTTGGAATTCAAACCGCACAAAACACTCCAGGGTGCGCGTAATGGGTGTCAATACCAGCAGACTCACAGGGTATTTGCAGCTTTGTAGAGGTTGTAAGAACACAGGCACTCGATTAAAAGGCAGTCGCCATCCTGATGGCCAAAAGTGGCGTGAGTAAGGTGAGCGAAAGGCGCATGTGGTATGGGTAATTAAGCAGTTCCCTTAATAAGGGGATGTCTCATTGGCATGGACTGGATTGCTTTCGATAGTGTGTACCCTTTCCTTTGCTGACTCCATCTCCAGATGTTTGGCACAAGCCCTTGTCTCTGACTTAACTCGTCTCCTTCCTGGCTCCCCAGGACTCCCAGCCGTCTCCTCTCGCCCTCCTCGCAGCGACATGTAGCAAAATTGGTCCCCCTGCAGTGGAAGCCGCCGTGACTCCTCCTGCCCCTCCTCAGCCAACGCCTCGCAAACTCGTCCCCATCAAACCTGCTCCGCTCCCTCTGGGCTCCAGTAAGAACAGCTTTGGGATTCTGTCGTCGAAAGGGAACCTCTTCCAGATCCAGGGCTCTCAGGTCGGCACCTCCTACCCTGGGGGGCAGCTGGTTTTTGCCATTCAGAACCCAACCGTCATCAACAAGGGCACCCGCTCGTCCGCCAACATCCAGTACCAGGCGGTGCCCCAGATCCAGGCCACGGGGGGCCAGACCATCCAGGTCCAGCCCAACCTCACCAACCAGATCCAGATTATTCCGGGCACAAATCAAGCCATCCTCACCCCTTCCTCTTCCTCTCACAAGCCCGTGCCCATCAAACCAGCTCCAGCGCAGAAGGGTGGAGCTTCGCCGGTGCAGGGCACAAGCAACGTGGTCAAGTTAGCCAGCGGTAGCAACGTGACTCTTACCCTGCCCGTGAACAACCTGGTGAACACCGCTGAGCCGGGCACGCAGGCTCAGATCCTTGCAGAGAGCCCCTCGAAACCCAGCAAAAAGACTCGAAAGAAAGCCATGTCACCCGCCCAGCCCGCCGCCGTGGCCGTGGCCGAGCAGGTGGAGACAGTGTTAATAGAGACCACGGCAGAGAACATCATCCAGGCGGGCAACAACCTGCTCATCGTGCAGAGTCCAGGCTCCGGCCAGCCGGCCGTGGTGCAGCAAGTCCAGGTGGTGCAGCCCAAGCAGGAGTCGCAGGTGGTGCAGATCCCACAGCAGGCCCTGCGCGTGGTCCAGGCCGCCTCTGCCACGCTCCCCACCGTCCCCCAAAAATCCTCACAGAACTTCCAGATCCAGACGACGGAACCCACCCCTACCCAGGTACCCTGTGTCCTCCTGCGAGGTCCCTCTGCCCTGTTTCTCCTCCAAGCTCTTTCTTAACTGGGCTTTAAAAAGCTGAAGGGTTTTGTGAGCCACCAAATGTCCCCAACTTGGAATCTGGTTTAGGCATCTCTTGCATGGATTCTCCGATGTCTGAGAGGGGTTGGGAGCACAGCTCTTCCCTCCGCAGGGCTTTATTAAGTCTCTCTTGCTGGTCATCTGCTTTTACGGGACCTGTAGGAGCACAGTGTCCTTGAAACCTCTGCTGTGCCACCAGCTTTGGTTGGGATGAGCCAGGCTGCTCAGAGCTCTTGGGAGACGGAGGGAGGTGGAGTGGGGCTCACAGCCTGTGGGACTGTGTCTTTTTTGTTGCCTTTGGAACCCAGGCTGCAAGGCCAAAGCAGCCCTTTGCTGCCGTGGGCAAGGCCAGGAGCTTCCTCAGGAGGCCCACAAAGGGTCTTCAGATGCTTGGGCAACTTCTCTTGCTTTTTGGCTCATCGCAGGTCCAGATTCCTGGGCTGTGTGGGGAGGGCAACCCTTGTGGTGGAGGGGGGGTCTGCCCGGTGACAGCGGCTGCTCTCACTCCTCTTCTCTCCCCCCATCAGGTCTACTTCAAAACGCCATCGGGTGAGCTGCAGACAGTGCTGCTCCAGGAAGCCCCAGCCATGACAGTGGCTCCGTCTGGGACCTCTTGCAGCAGCCCCGTGTCCCGCAGCTCCAGCACGGGGGGCAGCAGCAAGAAACCAGCCACACGCAAGGAACGCACTCTGCCAAAGATCGCCCCCGCCGGAGGCATCATCAGCTTGAACGCAGCTCAGCTGGCAGCCGCGGCACAGGCCATGCAGACCATCAACATCAACGGTGTGCAAGTCCAGGGCGTGCCTGTCACCATCACCAACACCGGAGGTGGGCTGCGTCCTGCTCCGCGGCGGGGCGGGAGGGACCTAGGCAGCTCCTTGATCTGGAGGACAGAAAGCCCCCCCGCTGCTAGCAGCACACTCACTTTGCAGCTGGGATGTTGCAGCTTTGTAAACAGATCCCTCGCACCCTGAGGCTGAATGTTGCTGACACTTAAATGTCATCAGCTTCTCTAGCTCCCGTCGCCCCAGGAGGCCCCGAGCGTCTCATGGGGTGTCTCTGGTGGTTCTGGGTGTTTCCAAGCCCATCCTGGTGAGCTGTGTCAGGGAGGGCGGTTAGCGGAGACAGCCGCCTGCAGGGTCAGGCTGTGCGGTCGTGCCGAGCCGCAGGACGTGTCTGAGCGCAGGGGCTGAGGCTGCCCGAGAGCCCAGACCAGCTCTGTTGGCTCCTGAGCTCCGTGCAGGGGGAAGGCTGAGCTGTGCCCAGGCCCTTGGGGCGAGACGTCTGTCTTTGGGAGAGCTGGGACCCAGCCAGGCTGAGGGACGTGGTGCAGCGGGGCTTTCCCTCCTGCGGCACCTCTGCAGGTAGCACTGCCAGCGCCCGGGGCTGGGCCATCTCTCCTCGCATCCGCTGGGAGCGGTGGCTGCTGGTTTGGGCTTCCAGTAGCCAAATCAGGAGAGGCACGTTCACACACGCAAGCTCTCTGCTCCTCCAAGCTCTGTAGTGAGGGATCACCGTTCCCTCTGAGTGAACCCAGCCCTTTGCCTCCGTGGGATGAGTGTCCTCCTTAAGCCAAAAATAGCCAGGCGTGGCCCTGGCCAGTGGCTGGGGGGGGCTCTTAGCGCC